GGGAGCATTTCTTTGCTTTCTTTTCATCTTCTGGCCTGCTGTCTGATGTTGCTCATTCTCCCAGAGAAGCAACCTGTAAATTCCTATCTTGAGATGGGGTGTGGAGTGTGCAGCCTGCTAGGGTTTGGAAGCAGGCTTGGGGTGGTCTCACCATTCAGGCATCCTGCATTTAGCTTCAGCTTTCCTTCTGCCTGAAGTAGAGTGGGTCCTGGAGTCCAGAACTTGGCTTGCTTACAACCTCCTGACATTAAGCTGGCTTCTCTTGGGTGGGTTGCAGAGGATTCCTAGGTGGCTGCGTAGAGTGGTAGCTAAGACCTCCCAGCAAGTTGCCCTGTTTTCAGCGCCAAAGCCCATCACATCTTTTGCTGTATCTTGAGCCTTTAGTGCCCAAGGATTTCCAAGGCTCTGCCGTACAAATGGCTTGTCATCTAGAGCCCCCTCTTTGGCTGCTATGGGTTTTACTTGGTCCATTCTCCTGTGGCAGTTCTCACCCCATGCTGCCATGTAGTGGGCTTTGGGGGGGGTGCAGTGTGCCATGATGGAGTTTTGCACAGGAAGCTTATTAATGTCCCTCCAGGGGCAGTGTGGGGGGTCAGACTGGAAGGGGAACTAGAGACAGGAGGCTAGTGCATGGAGGTGAGGCAAGACGTGATGAGTGTGGGGACTGACTAGCTGTGGCCAAAGGGGAAAGGGGATAAATTGTGAATGAAGTAGGATGGGAAGGACCTTAGGAATAAAGGAGAGGGAAGAGTCCAGGATGCCACCCCAGTTTCTGACCTCGGTGGGGATGGGGGGGTGGCTGAGACGAGGAGCACAATGGGAGGAGACAGCTGGGTGAGGATGGGTTCACTTGAGGAGGTGTGAGGAACCGTAGGGACTTGCAGGTGGAAATATCCAGCAGGCAGATGGATAAAAGGGTGTGAACACAGGCCCTGCTTCTTGCTACTTATCCTTACCAAGTATGTGATAGCCGAGGCCAGTGGCATGAATGAGATCATCCAGCTCGGAGGTAAGGAAGAGGGAAGGGTGGACAGTTGAGAACAGTGGGCCGCACAGAAGGAGATAGTCTGTGTCCCCCAGAAGTGATATAAATAGAGAAGTGGAGCCAACTGACTACTGGCCTAGCCCTTCGACGGCAGTGACCTAAAATGGTGGCCATTCAGGCTGTGATGTTAGCCAGCGGCCTCTGAGACATGTGTCCCCCAGGAGCCCTCTGTCCAAGCTCTGTGGCCCCACCCCTGAGCCCCAGGAGAGGACTGCCCACTCCCTACAGCAGTTCAGAGATAGCTGATGGTGATGCCCTTGGGGTTTCCTTCCTGAGGCATAGGATCAAAGGAGCTGATGGTGGGGATTTCCCCTCTGCCTTGAGGCCAGAGGTCATGCCGAAGTCCAGGTCAGGTTCTGGGCGTTCCTTCCTCCCTTCCCTATCACAGGTGCGCGTGTACCAACTCTGAGGTCACCAGTCTTAGCGTTCTTAAATGTCAGAATGGGTGGCTAACCTCACATCTGGCATCTAGAAGACTTACCCGGAGTCTTCCATTGACTTTACCCTGGTGGCCTTGCCTGCGTGTAAAAATAAGCATCGTAGCCTTGAGTCCTCGCTTGCCCACATAGTTACTCCGAGGAATCCTGTACGTGCTTTCTGTCTCTGTATCATGCAGCTTATAAGATGGGCATGTGCTGTGCCCATTTTACAGATGAGGAAGTCCCAGAGAAGTTAGGTGAAGTAGTGTCTGCCTGCGTCTATATATTAGAACTCTGAGTGGATGCTAGCCATTGGCTAAGTCCTTGTCCTATGAGAGCCCACCTCCAAACCTGCCGAGCTTCCCCTAGTGGTGGGTGTGGGCGTGTGTGCGTGTGCGCGTGTGCTCACCACAGATGCCCCTCCCTGCTCCTGAGCTCTCCTAGACTGCCCTCCAGAGACCGCAGGAATTCTGATGAATTAATCTCATCACTTTATCGAGGAGGCACTTAGAGAAATTACAAGGCAAGGCCACCAGCCTGGCTTTCTGGCAGCCAGCCGCTAGGGCCATAAAACAAATTGAAAGGAACAAAAATAAATAAATAAAAGCAGAACTCTCTCTTCCTCTTGCACACGTGCACACACGCGTGGGGTCAAGAACATGGTGTGGTTCTTGTTGTCAATACTCAGCCCTCTTGTCCTGGGAGAGCACCAGTGCCAAATCAACAGACATTTCTTGACCCCCCTGCTAGAGCGACAGCCCCGTAAAACCTGGGATCAATCCTCCTTCAAGGGATGACAGGTCAGCTGCGCAGCCAAGCCCAGTGAAGGTGAACGGCTAGCAGCAGGCCTGTGGCCTCCCGAGGCTGTGTGAGTTACCTTGCCAGGTGAACGCAGGGCCGCCACGGGCCCTGTGAGCTCACTGCACAGTGGTTCAGAGCAAGACTCGAGCCAGACCATCTGGGTTCAAGTCCTTGCTCTGACTCATCTATAAGATGGAGGAAAAGATGTTTACCTCCAGAGTTGTTGGGAAAATTAAAGGTGCAGTATATGAAAAGCACAGCCGTAGCTGCTTCATGGGAAGCACCTGTTCTGTTGGCTCTCAGTGTATATTGAGCGCCTCCTGTGTGCTAGGCACCTGGACTACAGAGGAGCTGGTCCAGGAGTAAGACAGGCGATGGCCAGGAGTAGCACCTATCTCAATGGGACCTGGAGGTGTAGACGGGCCGGGTGAGGTGGTGGAGGGACCTTACTGGGTTTGTTCTCCGCGGCTGGAACAAAGGCCAGAAGCCTATGTTATCAGTGAGTTCCAGGAACTGATAATAATGCGGAACATTGGGGGATGTTGAGGCTGGAAAGAGAGGTGTAGGGGTGGGATGGTGGCAGGAACCAACTTCTACAGACCCTCCTAAGCCAAGATAGACTTGGATGAATTAATTTATATGTGTGTTTTTCTCCTCTGTTTACTGGGCTTCTAGGAAATACTGAAATTATTTGCCAAGAAGCCACACAAGCCAGAGTGACCTAAGAAATGGTTAGGTAGGGTTGGATCAAAGAGGGGAGGGGCTTGCAGATCTTTATCCCTTTCCCCCCTCTCCCACCTTGCAGCACCAAGGGGGACTTTTAGACCCCCCCCCCCGGGAGAAATGGGAGGGAGAAAGGTGATAAGGAGATGGTGGCTGGAATTCAGAGGGAGATGCAGAGAGACAGAGAGAGACAGAGATCTCAGGTGCCCCGGGCAAGTGGTCATGTTCCCAGTACAAAATGAGGCTAATTACACTCACTGTGTTCTTGTGAGCACTCCCCTTGTAACTGGGCTCAACGATTTTATGACTTCAGAGCCCTTTGTCAGGGGCACAGCTTGGTTCCTGCTGGCTCTCAGAGAATCCAGCAGTCCGAGTTTTCCATAGGCCACTCGGGGAGGCTGAGGCACAGGGACGCTGGAAGACCGCTCCCTCCTGAGTTCCTCTAGACCACCTCATCTGCTGGGGTGCCAACAGCGGGGGCCCTGTCTGGTTTCCCCAGGCTGCTTGTGGGGTGCAGGGGTGGCACAGGGGCTCATTTCAGCTCCCCTAGTCTCAGTTTCTGGGCCTGTGAAATGGGGCACCGGCAGGCCCACCTCCAAGGGACCTGTGAGGAGTGGGGGTGCGCACAGAAGCAGGTGCGTGGTTGGATTGCTAACGTGGGTGGGGTTGGGGGTGGTAGAGAGTCAGAGGCCAGGCAGGTCTGGAACTGCCCTTTCAAGATCTGTCTCAGGCCAGGAGTGACCTTTCAGAGGCTGCTCTGTACCGGCCAGTGCCCTTGCTGGGTGAGGTGGGCCCCACAGCACCCCTGCTTCGGAGAGTGTCCCTGGGCCTGAGGAGAGGGTTAGGGGGGCAGCCTTCTCCCTACCCCTCAGGTAGACATCTGCTGGGGGTGGGTAGGGGGAGGCTTGCACTGATTCTGAGCCTGGTCTCTGAAAAGCACCGGCTCTGGCAGACCTCACAGAGTTGGGGCAGGGGCTGAGAAGATTAGATGAAAAGAAATAGCACTGGGGTCACCGTCTTGCATCGTACCTTCCAGGTGCCTTTCTCTTCACATCCATAGCTACACGATGCATATTTGTTAAGGGACCGTGGACGGGTAAGAGTCCAGAGGACAGATGCTACTCCCTGCGTTAGAAAGGCAGCCACAGCCTCTCCTGTAAAATGGGGGCAGTGTTGTACCCGTGATCGCCGTGAGGATTCCGTCAGTGATTTATCCGGGACGTTTTTATTGCCTGGCTTCTGCGTGGCCACGGATTGGGTGGTAACCAGCCCAAGCACTTGCCTTTGCGGGGCTCACAGCCCCCTGGGAGCATGGTAGCCGTTAGTATAAGTCATTGAAGGGGCGAGACAAGAGTGGTCATAAATTCCCTATGTAGTAATGCCCTGTGGTTATATAATCACCAGCTCACACCAAGGAGTGCTTTACGTTTTTTTTTTTTTTTTTTTTTTTAAAGTAAGCTCTGTGCCCAATAAGGGGCCTAAACTCAGCGACCCTGAGATCAGGAGTTCCATGCTCCATCAACTGAACCTGCCAGGTGCCCCAGTACTTAATAATTTTTAACGATCTTGCTTCATCTTTCATTTTGGAGACATTATACCCTGCTTTGCAGATGAGGAGACCGAGACTCAGGGAAGTGATTGTTTCTCAAGGTCAGCAAGCTGAGTGGCCCGGCGTGTGGAGGGGGATACGGAGCACAAGCCTTGGGCCCTGGGGCCACCGGGGCCGGTGGGCTGCACTAACATTCTGGTCAGCGCAAGGAGGTGTCCTCCGCCTGGCATGAAATGCCAGCTCAGTGGTGCCTTCAAAGCCGTGGGTGCCCCTTCTTCACAGCTGTGGCTGCCTGGCCTACGCAGCCCTCCGGGCCTGGCATCTCGGTGTCACAGAGGGTTGGGAGCACCTTGACCAGTACCTCAGAGCACGCACCCGGGATGAGGGGCAGGTGTCGGTCCAGCTGGCTGCTGGCTGGGGGTCCAGGACGGCACACGGCAAGCCTGTCTGTGTCTGGTTACAGGGAACATCGAGTACAGCTGCCCGGCCACCAACGAGTGTGAGATCACGAAACGGAGGCGCAAGTCCTGCCAGGCCTGCCGCTTCATGAAATGCCTCAAAGTGGGGATGCTGAAGGAAGGTAAGAGGTCCGCGCAGCCGCACTGTGCTCTGACTGAGGCCTGGGGGGTCCCTTCTCATTGGGTGACTTGGACCCCCGTGTTCCTGCCCCCTGGAATGCTCAAGCCCCGGAAGTCTCTGCACGCATCCCAGGTGGGGCCCCTGCTCCCTGGGGCACCCACGTTTCCTTTCTCACAAGCGCCCCGCACACAGGTTTGTGGCCACCTCATGGCTCCACTCCCAAGGAAGACACAGGCTGGGCATCAGAGGTTCCCCATTAAGGGTCCTCTGGAAGATCCCGACCCCACCTGGGCCCTAGAAAGCTGGCTTGGCCCTCTGGGGAAGGCCTTCCTTTCGGGGCGAGGCCTTGGTCCACCCTGGGAGGGGTGGGCTTGACATATGCTGCTCTATCTCTGGTGGCCCTGGAACACGGGGGTCCAAAGAGCAGAGACATTACGGCCCAGAAAGACACGGTGTCCTCTCCACCTGTGAAGGACAGCTGTGTCCTCCCGCAGGTGGGCAGGACTTGGCTGTCAACGTTGGGGATGCCCTCCCCCTCACCCCCCGCCACCGTGGTCCCGGCCACCTCATCGCCTTATTAGCCGTGACTGCCGGCAGGCAGCATGGGCCACAGGTTCCGGGCATGGGATACACGCTGGATTTCAAAGACTTATTACTAGGATGATAAAAAGTATAGAAATGAAAAAGTGTAATAATTATTTTTAAAAACGGGTTGCCTGTTGAGATGATGAGATTCTGGATGTAGTGGGTTAAACAAAACATATTAGGACATTAATATCACATGCTGCTTTTTACCTTCTCCAAAGTGACTGGTAGCTGATTTCACGTGACGTGTGACTCCTGTTATTTGGACAGCGCTTCTCTGGGTTCCCCTTCAGCCCCTACCCTCTGGATCTGCTCAGATAGGTGACCGTTGTCCAGGTCCATCTTGGGGGATGGGTATTTTGTGTGTTTCTCCCCTTCTTCAACTTTCGAGGGAGCTGGTAGAGGTTCTTACACATCTGCTTATACGGTTCTGGGCCCTGGGATCCTTCCAGAAGTGGGAGGAGGCTGGGAAAGAGGTATGTACCGAAGATTGCGTGATGGGGGAGGGGCTGGGAGTGAAAAGGAAGGGGCTGGTCTCAAATGCAGTCCCTCACTGAGAGGGGGCTTCTGGAAGCCCAGCCCAGGCTTTGAGGGACCCAGAGCACTCCTCTCAACCCTCCCCCCCCATGCATCCTTGGGGAAGGAGGTGCTAATTTAATTAGTGCTTTGTCAGTAGGACCGCTTGGACTTTGTGTGGAAATCAAAGCCCCCCCCAGTTTCCATCCCAGGCACCATCCGCCTTCATCCCAGCTCAGCTCAGCATGTGACCTCTAAAACAAGCTCCAGAAGCAGTTCCTCAACTACTCCTATGTCTACATGGCATGTTGGCCTTTAAACTGCATTTCTCATTAGCCACTTCATTGAACACCTTCAAGATGGTGAAGCCATTCAGTTATTTAGAAACATGCTAGCTGCTTCATGGGGGGGCGGGTGGTCAAGTGAAGAACAGTCTTCTTTCTAGACTAAAAATAGGCTGTGTTAGACCTCCTGAAAGATTATGAGTTCATGTTGATGTGACACAACTTTAGTCATATCCTTGTGTAGGGTGTGACCCAAGCTAAAGACTGAACAGGGTCCCCTGATTCCTACACCAGGCTCTTTCTGCTCCTCCAGAGCATCCTGGGGCTCACAGATGAGGAAACTGAGGCACAGAGGCCCTCAATGGTATGCTGTAGTGCTGGCCTCTAGACTTCCTCCTCTGAGGGCCGCTGGAAGCCAACTAAGGGTTTCTAAGTCTTAGTGAAGCTCCTAGCTTGTAAATCCTGAGGACAGGGGCCACCACCATGTTCTGGAAGCTGGGCATGAGGGTGTGGGGTCAGACTGGGGCCAGGTGTCCAGTGGCCTTTCCTAGTTGTAGTCGTGGCCTCACACTGCTTGCTTCACAGCCTCTGAGGATCTTCGAGCAGACAGGAGCTGCCGTGTTCCCAGAATGCTCCTGAATTTTAAGAATTGAGTTCTGCAGGGATTGGGGCTCAAGGCCTCTTCCACCCTCATTCTCTTGGTGATTTGCGGGGAGCTGGGCCCAGTGCCTGGGGTTTCCCCATGCTCTGTGCTGGGTCTGCCCCTACCCCAGCCACCCCGCCCTCACCCCAGGATTGTGAGCTGAAGAGCAGGGGAGGGAGAAGGGGAGATGAGGAAAAGGGAGGTCCACCACTTGAAACCCCTGGATTGCCTCTCAGGAAGGCTCTCCCTAGGGACTCCCTGGTGCAGGGAAGAGAGAGGCCCCTCAGAAAGGGGGAACCCCGAGGGGGATTCCCTGATGGCGGAGAAGGGTGTGGCACATGGGTGGCGAAGGCAGTCAGGCAGCCAGCACAGGAGAGAAGCAGGGTAGCTGCTGTGTGCCCTGGAACTGCGGTGTTGGGGGCTGCTGGGGGGCACATGGGCCCGAGAGAAGCTCCTGCCTCAGGTGGGGAAGATGCGCACGGCAGACCCCAACCTTGGCCTTCCTCTGCTCTAAACAGCCCTGTGGTTGGCCCAGGCCTTGGCTCAGGAAAGCGTGCAGGACAGCCTTTCTAGAGTGGTGGTGACAAGGGGCATCTGACACTCCTTGGGCCCAGCCTGGAGAGGCCCTTTCCGGAGCTCTGCCTGGAGGAGGAGGGGGCCCTCCTCTCTGCCACACCGCCCAGTGCTGGCAGTTCTAAATCCAGAGGGGGCAGGCTGACACAAAGGCTCCCCGAGTGTGGACAAAGCCAAGTGCCTCCATTTAGTTTCTGCCCCCCGCAGTGCAGAGCCTTGGCGGGCTCCTGCGATCAGAAGCTCCGCGGGGACCAGCCCCCTGAGGAGGAGCCTCAGTGAGGAGCCTGGGTCCCTGCCAGGTTGGGGCTCTTGGCAGCTGCCCCGGCTCCTGCTTTTGTTTGGTTGTCCCCCCACCCCTTTGTGAGCAGGCGCCTAGGCCCCTGGGACAGGCGCGGGCTCCCTGCCTCTGTGCCTCCCCTCAGACTCGGCCCTGACTCTGAGAGGCAGACTGCAGCCTTCCTGTGGGCTCCTCCTCCTGAAGGATCCAGGGTGGGCGCCACTTGGAGGAACCAGGGGCTGGGGTCCCAGGTCCCGGGAAAAGGCATGAGGGTGGCAGAGGCTGGGGAAAGGGAGTGAATGTCGGCTCCCCGCCTCCCCGTCTCACCTGCACATCTGAAGGTGGTTTCCTATCTTCGGTCCAGCAGCTCTAGATGTCTTTTACAGTTTTTCTTTTTAATTTTTTAAAATATTTATTTTTGAGAGAGAGGGCTTATGTGTGGCTGGGGAGGGGGAGGGGCAGAGAGACAGAATCCAAAGCAGGCTGTCAGCAAAGAGCCTGATGTGGGACTCGAACCCACAGACCATGAGATCATGACCTGAGCCAAAGTCAGATGCTTAACCGACAGAGCCACCCAGGCCCCTGTCTCTTACAGCTTTTCTTTTTTCAAGTAAAACACCTTAGGGACTGCTTCATAATTTGGGAGGCCGGCATCTGTGGGGTGGGGTAGAGAGGGGGAAGGTCTGGTTGTGGGGCTTCCTGTGGCTGAGCGTCTGCCTTGAGGCTGCTGTCGCTCTGGAATCATCCACCATGCCGTGTAGGCAGTACCCAAAGGTCTGTCTCACTTTAAGCAAATCCAGTGTGTGGAAGTCCGCATTTTTAGAGAAAAGAGTGATTTTTGTCTTCATAAGAAATCGAACACAAAATCGGCACTGGGTTGTGGGTTGGTGCCTGCACCCTTGCCCCTGGTTCTGAGGGAGTCTTGCTGTGTACATTATTTCTGGCTTGCACTCCTGGGCCTCTGCTTCTTCACCTGTAGAGCAGGGGCATTGAACCTGCTCTCTGTCAGCAGGTCAAGGTGGGGACAGGTGGAACAGCTCCCCGGTGAAATCCACTGTGGGACTGCTTTAAGATACCACCTTCCTGGGCGTGTTATTAAATTATTTGATTCAAAGGCAGTCTCTTTTGCACTGAGCTGTTTCAGCCGCCCAGCCTGTCTTGTGAGGTGAGGGTTACTGGCGGCCCCGATCTTCCTCCTGGATTCGCTGGTAGGAATCTTACAGGTGACAGCCATCCAGGGCTGGCCCCCTGTGTGGGGTCCAAAGTCAGGATGGGAGGTTCCCTTGGGACAGCAGTGGAGAGGCTCTCCCCCAATAGGTGGGCTTCCCTGCCTGGCCGGGGTGGGGCCTGACAGCCTCTCAGACAAAGGACCTGGAAAACCGTTCGCTGCTTGTCACGGGACGCCCTCCGGCTTCAGCACAGCTCTGGGCTTTCAGCAGCTCTGCCTGGAAGGCCTGTCCTGCGAACTTCACCTTCTTCTCCTCACCTCGCTTCACCTGCCTGGGGCCAGCAGCCTCCCTGTCCCGCTCCATTTCCTCCTCCTCTCAGCCCTCGCCTGCCTTTTCCCCAAGTGTTTTCTGAAAGATATTTGATTTCAGTGAAAGCTGGGCTGACGTCCATGCAGTGTGCTCTCACTCGCTTTGTGCTTGTCGGGAGGGCGGAGGGCTCCTCCGGGATTCTGGGTAATTGGGTTAGTGGCCAGCTCATGTCAGGAAATTAAAAGGAGGCTCCGATCAGGTTCCCGCTGCATGGGATTTAATGGCTTTGTATTTATAGAGTATTCTGCCTCTAGCCCCTGCCAGAAATACCACTTTTCTGGCCCTGTGAATGAAAAAGAGGATGAGAGATGGCTTGCCTTTAAAAAGTCTTTCTCTTTTCCAGAAGACATTCGTGCTCTGAGACAAACCCACTCTCCAGCACTTCAGAGAACAGTTCTGAGCTGGAGCCCAAGAACACCAAGATGTATTCGTATCCCCCTCGGACCACTTTTCCATCTTAGGCGCATGTGCACAGACGCAGATGCACGCACACGTCTGACGGTTCACGAGGTCTTCCCAGGTGGCCTGAAGCCTCCGGGCCACTCAGGCACGATGACCCGATGCCCTGTGGCTGGGGAAATGTTG